AAAATTAAAATATTTATAATTATAAATATAAATTAGCACTATCAAACCAATATTAAGTCTTTAAATAAATAAAGAAAAAACAAACAGAGAAAATATATTCAATAGAGGTGACGGGTCAGGAACGGTGCTCAAATCAATTAAATATGTTCTTGCATTAATTAATTAGGATTAGGAGTCGACTGGTCCGCACGGCTCAAAAAGTCTTTAATGTGGTGGAGGTTTCCAAGTCTGCCGTGCTCGGATAGAATTGGAGAATGGAGCTTCTTTCTTCTGCTTCTGTGCTGGCTGTTGCTCACTTCTGCTTCATCTTCTTCTTATCATCAGTTGGAAAATCCAGAGCTCAAAATGCCACCACTGACCCTTCTGAAGGTACATACTTCCCTTCTCCGATCTCTTTCTCTACCTCATCCACTCATCTTGATCCAAATATCCAATCCATATAAATAATGAACATATATATATATATATATATATCTATTATAGACTACTGAATATCAACATGTATCGTACGGAAAAAATTAGGCGAAGAAGATTCTGAAAGTAACGTTGTTTTCTTATTTTTGAGTCTGGGTTAGAAAATGCGTTAGGAACATTAATCAGAGCCATTTAGCGTGTAGGCACGTGGACTCTCCGTTCTTGTCAATATTCCGGCAATGGAGTCATCGGCTTCGCCACGGCTGAATTTTGGTGTCGTTTTCTATATAAAACAGTGTAAAGTCGCCAAATCTAAGAATGGAAGTCTGCAGGCTTGAAGAGAATTTACAAAAACACACTGTTTAGCTGCCAAATAATCATGGGGGATGCTGGAAACAGCCAAAGGAAGAGGAGGCCGGCTGTGATTGATGATCGGTGGCGGGCTTAGGGGCTGGTTCTTACGGGGAAGGGATAGACCGTGGATATCGAAGAATCTGAGGGGAGGACAAAAGAGGGGGAAAAAAAATTTAAGAAAACATGGACTGAAATCAGCGTCGTTTTATTATAATCTTGCGTCTAATTTTTTACACACAAGCAGAAAATCCGCATAATTTTACTTCTTTAATTAGAAGGATGCTTTTAAGATTTGATATGATTATTGATTCCGGAGAGTTTTACAAATTATAGTTATTTAGCAACCTCATGTCCTTCAGTTAATATTATAGTATTAAATTGAGTCTTTTTGTAATAATTTTTTTTAAACTTATTGTTAAAACTAGTTAAGGATTTGGCAATAACCTAAATTATATAATTTTTTATAAATTGCACAACACCCTTGGTAGGTAAGTAAATTAGAGAAAAATAGTTAGTATCTAATCCTGCACCTCAACCTCTAGAATCTTGTTTATATATAAAATATTAAGAAAAAAATTTATAAATATTTAAATTCAAAAGTCCCTTAAAAAACAAAAATTTTATTTTTGTAAATCTGTAATTAGAAGATATGATTTTTCAAAGAATCATATAATAAACAAAAAAAAGTATAAAAAATCTCAAAAAGAATGTGTTTTATGCAAATCTAAAAAAATTTACCAAATTAAAAACACATTCTCTTAAAGCAAGTAAAACTTTAAAAAAAATGAAAAATTGTTAAAGTGGAGAAATATGTTAAAAGACCATGTACATATATGTACATATATATACACGCGTAGAAATCTATTTATATATAAATTATATGTATTTTATTTATATAAAATTTTAATTATTTATTTTTTATTATTAGTAATTGAAATTTATTTATATTTATTAAAAATAATTATTTTTTATTAAAAAATTATGATAAATATTAATTATTAAAAATAAAAAATAAATTATTAATATTTTATATAAATATAATATGTAAAACCTGCATAAATGAGTTCATCGTGTATATATATATATATAGCAAACACTTCCCCTTTCATTGGGCCACGTAAGCTTCTTCAAAGCTTTAAGGTGCAACTTCTCGGGGAACCAAGATAACGTGGCCCAATAAAAGAGAAAGTGTTGACCGGAGAGTGCGAAAGGCGAGTGCCCCTAGCATTGCTCTTTATCAAAACATGTGCATCGGTAGTCTCGTCTTTCTTGTCCTTGTTGTCAAACTCTTCGTTTTTTTTTTTTCTTCCTTTTTCTTTTTTTTTTTCTTTTTAGTTTTATGGTAAAAGTCGAACTATCATTTGTTGACATATATTAAAAATAGGAAAGAAAAGGTTAAAACTATTAGTAAATTTGAAATTTTGTTGTATTGATATATTTTGAGAAAATATAAAGATAAAGATATAATTATTTTTTAAGTTAAGAATGTAAACTTTTTAAGTTCTTAAATGAAATATAAATTTTTATTTTTTTAAATAAAAATAAAAAATTTTTATTTAAAAATAATAAAATTTATATCTTTAAATAAAAAATAAAAATTTATCTATTAGTTTAAAATTTTAAAAATTTTATATTTTTAAATAAAAATAACAAAATTTAAATAATTATCTTAACTTTTCTCCTAATACTCTTACTTTTGGTTAAAATTTTAAAATATTATAAATAGCACCAATCGCTAACACTAGTTATGCAAGCGGTTATCTCTATTTTTTTTTTTTTTTTAAGTAATAGGCATCATTCCACCTTGATTTTTGAGTTAAAAAATATTTAAATATATTAAAGTGTTTGCAATTATATTCCAAGTACTTTTTTTTTTTCATTTCTTTCAAATTCAAAAGGCGATTTGAAAATTTTATATAATTTTTTAAAAAATTGAGTCACATAACTTTGATTTTGCAAATCAAACTATTTTAACCTATGTGACTATAAATCCAGGTACTTGAGGTAAAAAAAGAATTTTTAGTACAGATAAGTAGATTTACAAAAAGTTTATCAATCATGTTGAAAATTTCGCAATTTGATCATTGGTAAGTGTCCATGTATGTGAGATTTACTTTTGTTTGTTTAATTCGCATCACATACATGGGGGAGTTAAGAAATTAGAAAGGATCATTTTCAAATGTGCGAAACCCAAAAGCAGAAAATGAAAAAAAGAGTTGTTAGTCTGTCTTAGAAGAATTAGATTTATTGGGAGTTCTAAAATCGCTGAGCCCACGGGACTCCGTGAGGCCAACCATTACAGTGGCCTCTGCTCGTAAAAGGCCCAAAATGAATTTAGTCATGCGCACGAATCCCAGCCCGCGTAAAAGAACTAACAAAATTAGATCATCTTCAGCTTCATCTAAAGACCTGCACAAACCTAAAGCATTTTGACGTTTAACTTCTTGAATCTTGATGCAGTGAGAGCATTGATCTCAATCTTCCAACAATGGGACATACAGGGGGTGGACTCCTGGAATATCAGCGGCGAACCATGCACCGGACCTGCTCTGAGCCAAGATATTGACGTTTTCTCAGATCCTTCCAACAATCCATCCATCACATGCGATTGCACCTTCAACAATGCTACTACCTGTCATATCACCAGACTGTACTCTCTCCGTCTCTTGCTGCTCTGGCGAGCGCATTCAGTTCTTTTTCAAACTTTTGATCGGTTGTGAAGTTTCACTCTAACTGTTTGTTCATTTTCCCAGGAGAGTGTATGCACTGAACAGACAAAAGGTGTTAACGGAGGAGCTTTTGGCTTTCAAATTCTTAACCTTACTGTATGGTTTCTAATTTTTCTTTTGCTAGTGGAAAATGACGTTTTAGCATTTTCTTGGAGAGTTTTTAAGAGTATTGACTACTGAATTGTTCATTGTTTGATGATGCAGGTGGATCGATCAAAATTACTTAACCGGTCCCTTGCCCGCATGGATTGGGAATTTATCTACATTGCGGGTGTTGTAAGCATGGATTCTGGTGGTCTTATGAGAGCATTTTACTTTACTTTAATAGATAGCTTTTATCAAACTTCTGAGATTTCCACGCATAGTTTTTCTGACTTTTGGTTCTAGTGGTTAAATCTCTTTACCATCTAGAATACATGTATCAACCTGCTAATTACATCTTACTTTATAAAAAAGAGTCATTGACCCTTGATTATGAAGCTAAATCATTGAAGTGCTAAAGATCTTCAAAGCAAAGCACTTTGTGTTTATTTCAGTGTTTCATTTACCAGCATTAAAAACCATCATTTACAGTGATTACTATCAATCCATCTCACTTATTTTCTGATTATGGTGATCATGCTTATTCTGTAGGTAAAACTCATTGAATTTGGTGTGTTATTTTTGCTAACTTATTTCAGAAGCCACTCGTAATTTTCTGGGTTATGTTTTTTGTGTCAAGGGCTCTTGCCCAAAATGCATTATCTGGGCCCATTCCTAAGGAGCTTGGAAATCTTAAGGAGCTAACTGTGCTGTAAGACCTGAAGAAATTCTACCTTTGTCGTCATAATGCATTGATTTTTTAATTTTTAATTTTTAATTTTTTTTATTTGCCTTTATAAAGCATCAAATGGTTCTGTTCTACCACACACTTGTAGCCTCTAAGTTACATAATGGACAAGTTTGGTCCTTGGGCATTAGGAAAGTGCCTTTTGTATAAAATGAAAAATCAATTCAATATATTATGTTGAGCAGATCTGAAAGTCTGGAGAGATTTTGTGTGTGAGGGGTGATGGTCAAACAGGAAGGGGAGACAGCCACAACTCTATTATGTAAAATTATTTGTCAGTGCTTACTAGTTGATGTAACAACCTCTCATAATAATAACTATACTTCTAAATTCTGATATACACTGAATTGATGAATTCCAGAAGGGAAAATAAATAACTTCAGGTATTCAAAATCAGTATCAGTTTCAACTACCTCTGATAGAAATGTGAGGGACTGTAGATAATTTGAGTGATTTGGGTCTTTTCCTATAAATGGTTTCCAACGGGTCCTGAGGTACTCACATTTTTTTATGTCTGATGCAAAGTAGCGATGCAATATGGTAGTCAAGGACCAAACTTGTGATAGGTTCAAATAAAACCCCATGTCAATTTTAATGGTTTCTCTTTCTCCATAAAAATATTTTATTTGAATTCTTTCATGCAGATCAATTGCTTTAAATAATTTCTCTGGAAGGCTCCCACCAGAACTTGGTAATTTAGTCAAACTTGAACAACTGTGAGTTATAACTTTCTTCTAGTTCTTTGTAGCTCAATAATTTTGTGTAGGAAGAAGCATATCAGCAGAGACTAAACAGTTTTGGTTTATGAATGTGCAGTTACATTAGCAGCTGTGGAGTTGATGGTGAAATTCCCTCAACATTTGTTAACCTAGTAAACATGCAAACCATGTAACAAAGTCCCTGGGATCTTAAGCTGTATTTATTTGTCTGCTTATGTTTCTGGAGCATCTCAAAATCATCTTCTCTTACCCTGTCATTAACAGAGAGCCTTTTTGGATTTTAGGTGGGCATCAGACAATTCTTTCACAGGCAAGATACCTTATTTCATTGGCAACTGGAAAAAGCTTACATCACTGTAAGTTACAAATACTTCTTATTCAACTTTTAAAGGCATTATTTTTTAATTAGTTTTGCTTCATTTCTTCAACAGTGAGATATATCTAGTTTGTTCTTTCTTGATTAGCCTGCAAAATATTTTTGTAGGAGATTTGAAGGGAACTCCTTCGAAGGTCCTATACCATCCAGTTTTTCTAAATTAACCTCTCTAAATTCTCTGTAAGTAATTATTCACTTACCATTTATTCTCTCTCTGCATGCACGATTCTGAAAGTATTTATAGTGGCTAACTTCTTCAATTCTCTTATATAATCATGCAGGCGAATCAATGGTTTATCCAATGTGAGCTCTTCTCTTGATTTCGTTAGAAATTTAAAGAATTTAACTGACTTGTAAGTAAAATCTCCTTAATCATGTACAGAAACCTGTATCTTCTTTTCTCTTTGTTGTGTTTGTTTTATTAGTTAATTGACTAACAAACTTTACTTTTTTCTTTTGTTCTTTATTTTCCTGTAGAATTTTAAGAAATGCACTAATTACTGGTAGTATTCCATCTGATATTGGAGAACTCCAATCTTTACAAAAACTGTAAGATATGTTCACACTTTGCCTGATGAATATGTTATGTATGAAATTAATTTCCATTTCCCATATTAATTTAATTCCTTTTTCTTTACCAGGGATTTGAGTTTCAATAACTTGACAGGCCAAATTCCAAGTGCTTTGTTCAACATAAGTCCTCTTACATACTTGTAAAGTCATAGAAGATGCTTCAAAATCTTGATTTATGTCAATTTCATCTTAGTTTTTTCTGGTCAACCTAATGCCAATAATCTGATGGTATTAACCATCAGAAGAAAAAAATAATAATAATTGAATGTATTATATTCTGTCAATGTCCAGGTTTCTTGGAAATAATAGTCTGTCTGGTACCATCCCTAGCCAAAAGAGTGAAAACCTAATGAATATGTAAGCCATAACATTCTGAGCATTCTCTTTATTTGAATCAATAACTTCTGCTAACTTTCTGCTATTGTACTTTAACTACTTTCTCATGCAGAGATTTATCTTACAATTTTCTCTCTGGAAGCTTTCCCTCATGGGTGGACGCAAACATACAACTGTATGTAGCTTAAGCTTATTTTTCTTTTAATTGATGTCATATTATTAATGCAACATGAATGAAAGAAAAAAGTTAAAGATCTACCCCGACCATCTCCATTAAATCCCTGTCAGAGCCAGTGACCCAGTTTTATTCTCATTTTGGTACCTAACTTCCGCTGATGACCTAAATTACAATACCCAACTAAAAGTCCTCTGGAAGTCTTCTTGATTATCAAGAACCACATAGTAATGTACTACACACCTATGTATTGTATATCATTTCTATACAGAGTATCTGTCACTTTAAATTCATGAATGTAGGATTGTTACAACTGCTATGACTGATGTTCATTTGTGTTGTCGCTTCGTATAATATAGGAATCTAGTAGCCAACAACTTCACGTTTAGCAGGTCAAACATAAGGTGAGTTGTAGTTCTTAAGTATCTGTCGAGTTTTACTCTTCTATCCACCTTAACCTAAAGGCATAAGAAAATTGGTTGCAATTATTTGCACAGTGGAAGTTCTTTTAATATATATAATAGCAATAACAAGTTACTATTTTATTTTTTTTTCAGTCTCTTACCAGGACTGCATTGCCTTCAAAGAAGCTTCCAGTGCAACAGGAACTCTCCACACTGTAATCTTCTTTTGCTAGTGTTTAATTCCTATCTAGGCTTTGTTTATCTGCTGCATTGCCTTGAGATAGCTTATACTTGGCATTATGCTGGAATCACAGAAAGAAACTTCTAGTAGAGGGAAAGGGCTTTGACAATTGTATTTTAGAGTGTTCTTAGACTCTCAGTGACAAATTTTCCATTCCTACTTTCCCAGTATCAATAATTCTGAGCTTGGCCAATTGAAATATGCATGCATCAATGGCAATTGTAAAAGGGCTTTAAGTTTGTCCTGCTAGAACTTGAAAGGAGTCAAAATTTACATGCTGTTTTTAACCTGTTATAGAATGACAACTTCAGTAACCTACTGGCTATAAATTTCTGTTGCTGGAATTTTAATTATTGTTCTTGAGTAACTTGCCAAGCATATTTAAATATTGATGTTGGCAGATACAAAATTCTCAATCAAGTGTGGTGGCCCAGAGATGACTGCTGATGGCATAAAATATGAGGCTGAAAACTCGTCTCTTGGCACAGCATCATTTAATGTAATCAGTACTGAGAAATGGGCAGTTAGCAATGTAGGTTTGTTTTCCGACAGAAAGAATATAACCTATGTGCAAAACACCTCAGCACAAGTGAGATACACAAACTCGCCGGAGCTTTTTCAATCTTCGAGGATATCCCCTGGATCACTCAGATACTATGGCCTAGGCCTAGAGAATGGACCTTATACAGTTAAGTTGCTTTTTGCAGAAACAGCTTTTGATGATCGAAGCACACAAACTTGGAAGAGTCTGGGAAGGCGAATTTTCGACATTTATATTCAGGTAAAATTCCCATAAAAATTGTAAACCATTGTCCCGATTGCATTTATGGATCATTTTATTCAAGCCCTCTATGTAACAAATGTTTCTAAAATTACAAATTTGTAAACTTAAGTTTTACATTTTCAGATTTTAAACATAATCAACTGTTCCCAGGGAACCATCGTATTGAAGGATTTTGACATATCAAAAGCAGCAGGTGGGGTTGAAAGAGCAATCACAAAGAATTTCAATGCTATCGTGACAGAGAACTATCTTGAAATTCACCTATTCTGGGCTGGTAAAGGAACATGCTGCATACCAGAACGTGGTTACTATGGATCATCCATTTCAGCAATCAATGTGGTATCAAGTAAGAAATGAGATGACAAAAGATTCTTTGTTTGAAATCTTAAGTCATGTGAACCTCTGTTTGCCACTGCTAATGCCTAAAACCTGTTGATCAGATTTCACACCGGCAAAAGAGAATTGGACTGGGATGATTGTTGGTGTTTCAGTTCCTGTCGGGGTTGTCACCTTAACCTTGATATTGACATTTGTAGCCTTCTACTTGAGATGGAGAAAAGATGATGATGAGGAAGGTAAGATTTCTAAAAAGTGCAATAGTAGTTAATTAGTAATGATATTATTTGTAAAACTGATTCATGTTAATATGCTACGGTGAATCTGGGTGGATCTGGCCTCATTGCTGCTGATTGTAATTCTAGGCTCCCCAAACCAAGTTCTAGGTTAAGCTCTTACTGATCTTAAGACAATTATTTTCTTCTTTATTACAAGGGTGGACAGACGGGCTTTTAAAGGAAGAGATATTCTAGTATTACTTTTGGCAGGTTGGCTAAGAGAATTGATATCCCTTGATGGAGAGAAACTATTTTTTTCTTTTTTTTCAACTTCTTTGACAATGTTGCTGCTCTATCTTGTGGCGATGCATTCACATGGGACCAATATTCCTGGTGCTCAGAAGATCAAATTTTATATATAGGAAGTAAACTTGAATATTATGAGTTGTTGATTTCTGGTTTTGTTCTCTCATATAGAACATATCTTGAGGCTTCTGGTATAGACTCTGCTCTTATTTTATTTACTTATCAATTTTCTGATTAATTATATGAAAAGGACAAACAAAAAAGGGAAATAGAAATTATACACTGGCCCATGGCCCATGACCTTTAAACTTGAGATGCTGAATCCTAGGACCAGTGTTCGTAAAATTTCAACATTATATAATTATCTCCTATTTCATCAGTAGATTTTATTCCAACTTCTTCTCTTGAATTTGCAGAGCTTCTTGGAATAGGACCCAGACCAGACACCTTTAGTTATATTGAGTTGAGAGTTGCAACAGATGACTTCAGTCCCTCAAATAAGTTAGGAGAAGGGGGATTTGGTCCAGTATACAAGGTAAGCTACTGGCTTAAAATCTAAAGTCTGTTTTTAATGAAATAGAAGATTTATATGACAATGTTACTAAATAAAGCACTTTAAATACATTATAGGGTAAACTTTATGATGGGCGGGTAGTAGCTGTGAAGCAGCTCTCAGTAGCATCTCACCAAGGGAAGAGTCAATTTGTTACTGAGATTGCCACCATATCAGCGGTGCAACATCGCAATCTTGTTAAACTGTACGGATGCTGCATAGAAGGAAAGAGACGCCTCCTTGTTTATGAGTATCTTGAGAACAGAAGCCTAGACCAAGCACTCTTTGGTATGACTGAACAAGTTATTTGCTCCCTTCTAGCCTTTATCCTGGAAAATGAAACATATCTGCATCTGGATTCATTTCTTCAGCAAATTAATCACTCTCCATAACATTTCTTGCCTCACATATGCAGGAAATAAAGACTTGCATCTTGATTGGCCAACCCGCTTCAGTATCTGCCTGGCAACTGCTAGGGGACTAGCTTATCTTCATGAGGAATCAAGGCTGAGGATCGTACACAGGGACGTGAAGGCAAGTAACATTTTGCTTGATGCTGAGCTCTGTCCAAAAATATCTGACTTTGGATTGGCAAAGCTATATGATGACAAGAAAACACACATAAGTACCCGTGTTGCAGGAACCATGTAAGCTCCTTGAATCACTATGTCAAGAGTATCTAAATGGTTATTTGCATTACATTGTAGCTTGTATATGTTATTAGGTTTCATAGCATCAAACCATCAATGGAATCCAGAGACTTAGTATCATAGATAGAGAAATCATCTCAATAAACCTTGAACATGCAAATTTAATAGCTTAGTTGCAATATTGGCAGTGGCTATTTGGCACCAGAGTATGCAATGCGTGGCCACCTCACTGAGAAGGCAGATGTATTTGGCTTTGGTGTTGTTGCTTTGGAAATCGTCAGTGGAAGACCAAACTCTGACAACAGCCAGGAGATTGACAAGATCTACCTTCTTGAATGGGTAAAGAAAGAAACTCTGTTCTTTTTTCCTTCTTTATAGACACATTCCTTGTGCATGAGATTTACTTATACAATGTTTCTAGGCATGGACTCTGTATGAAAGCAACCAATGTCTTGGTCTGGTGGATCCAACCCTAGTGGATTTTGATGAAAATGAAGCTTTAAGAGTGATAAGAGTGGGACTCCTGTGCACGCAAACATCACCAATGATGCGACCAGCCATGTCAAGGGTTATAGCTATGCTTGTTGGGGATATCGAAGTGAGCCCTGATGCATCAAAACCAAGTTATTTAACTGACTTGGATTTTAAGGACATAACAGCCAGCATCAAGGCTGAAAACACACCTTCTACTGGATCTGAGCACAGTGATAACAAGAACAAGAACAGTCTTAATCCAGGGATAGAGCTGGTGCCTTCTCCATTAAACATCACCGAATTCAGTGACATTATTGCGGAAGGAAGGTGAGAGATGTTTTTCCTTAAAAGCTCCATTTTGTCACTTCTCCTGCTTTGCCTTCTGCCACATATTTTCTAGCTCAATAAAGTGGATACTGAAATTGTGTGAATTTCTGTCATTCGAATCCTTTATGTCTTGATCATTTCTCTGTATGTAAACTGAACGAGATATCAAAATATTGGCACGCAATAAGGCTGCAGTGTTTGTAACTCATGGATGTCATTCCTATCATGTAGTAATATACTTCAAAGCTAGAGGATTGTTTGTAATTCCATGTAACATGATTATGTTTTTTTTTCTTTCCTTTTTTTTTTTTTGGGGTTTTCTTTTTCCTCTGTCTTTACACACCACCTCTAGCACATGCCACACCACGTACTACAGCCAATATATCAGTTGTTATGTTTGCAACCGACTCCAAGTCAATTTCAACAGTTGCAACAACACCATATGACTCCAATTCACAGAGCCACAGCAGCACTTCTGAATCTTTAAGCAATGCCTTCTTCCCAGAGAAAAAAATTCAAAGCTGCAAGAAGAACGACAACTGCTACAGCAAACTCAGAAATTCGTTTAGCGTTCTTTGCAGTATGAGTGAGCCTCACGTTGAGTTCCCTCATAGAGTTAACAACCTACCTCCAAAAAGAGAGCGGGCACCGAGCAATGTGCTTCCGATGCTCTTGCTGGAGGTGGTGGTGTGGCACTTGCTGAAGGGGGACTCTGGTGGAGCTGTGGCTTCCTAGAGCCAAAGCTGCAGCACTAGATGGAGCTAAGGACTCGAGAGGAAGCTCAGTGATTGCCTCTTACTGGATTTCTGAGTTGTGTATTGTTTTGCCACCAACTAGAATTTCACACATCACTGAATTTTCTGAATATGTAGGAGTATACGCTAGGGAGGAACTGGTGTCTATAGAAGAAAATACCTTTTTGCATCTGCTGAATTAATAAGGTGCAGATTGCTTTGAATTTTTGCATTGAGAAATATTCCTGGGTGTAGAATGTTAAGCATTCAGAAATATGACCCATTGAAGTGTAACTGGAGATGTGTTTTCCTTCCCCTTGGTAGCTATATCACTCAGACAGTAAACAAGAATCATTTCATGGAAATACCCCAATATTAGGGGTTCACTGGAGCTGTTAAATTATTCTGCATACAAAATGTAGTTAACTTGAGTTTATGAAAGAGTTTTTTATTTTGTAATTTAACCATTTAATGATAGTTGAAACAATAATATATAAGACTACAGATGGGCTAGTGGAAGTTCTATTTATGTTGACCATTTTTAAAGAATCTCTGCATGCTAATAGGATTAAGGCATTCAAACTTACGCTTGATGATGTTAATAAGAATGATACCATGGGAGGTTTAGAGTTGATTGGAAAGTTGAATTTGGGTGATCCTTTGTCCTTCTATTCTGTCAAAGACGAGCTCTATCAAAGTCAATTATTATTTTAGCCCAATACTTATGATTTTTTTAAGAATCATGATGATATCTAAAAGTTTAAATTTTAAAATTTAGTAATTTCAGTTTTTATCTCTCAATTTGTACTAATTGAAAAAAAAAAAGAAAAGAAAAACAAAAACAAAAAACACTCTATCAAGGGGTTTATTACATATGGCAATTGGTGAGTGGTTATTACCATTTACATTTTTGTTAAGGTAGATAATTTTATTAATATTTTATTAATTTATAATTTTTTAAATAATTAATTATAATATTTAAAAATTAATTTTTTCAAATATATCAAACTAACATAAAAATGCTTTCTCCAAGATGGTTAGAAAAAAATTATTTGAACGTGCAGTGAAACCAGCCGTGAATACACCCTAATACTTTATAAGACAATATCTTTTAGTATTTTATTTTTTAATTTTAAATTATTATTATTAAAACATATAAATTATTAA